AGTCATTAATTGATTACAGTGTCAATTAAAAGTTGCAAAAAGCACCTCAAATTTAAGATAAAACTGTGAAACAAAATCTTTTCAGTTTGAAACCACTATCATTACCCGCTTGGAGGAGGCGAAAAGGAGATTGGAGGAATACGAAGAGCAAAATGCCTATGATGGAATGGAAGAGGAACCGGCACCTCAGGAGTCGGAATTTAACGAAGAATTTAACGAGCAGGATGCACTCCTCTGCCTAAGATGATGATGAGGAAGAAAGCTGGTCATTGGGAGCAGAGTGGATCAGTCTGTCATACAAAATGAAGATGAACCTGAGTTGCTGATGGTACCAGTGGAGACAAGTGACGTCAAGGAACCGGAAGAAAGAGTCCGAGAAATCATCTTGTTAGTCCTACTTTGATGCATAGGAAAAAGACTAAATAAAGCAGTTTTAAATTTTGCGCATCATATGAAACGGATAGATCTGGCTAGATTTAAACATAGTTCAGAAGATCAAGGACGATCAGATTTCCAGTTCCAGTCACACATACAATGTTGGCATGCTTCCAGAAGATCTAGGGGATCTTCTGGAACAGCTCCGAAGGGAGTTGGAAGTTTTGCAGGCGGAGTCGTGTACGATGGTGCAAGTGGAAGGGAATATCAATATCGGTAATCTATACATATATTTCTTTTTAAAGTAATATTGAAAATGATTATGTGCTTGTAATCTAAATAAAATGTGCCATATTTTAGCTTGCTAACACTTTAACCACAGAAATTAAACAAAACGGTGACGAAATTTGCACCCTGAAATTGATTGACAATTTGTAGTCTCTGCAAATCATTCGTTACTTTAACAGTCTCTGCAAATAATAATTTTGTACTATACTTTCAGAGTGCAGTATCTGCGACAGGGGCAGTTTAATATACTGAGATGGTGGCGAATTAACGCTTCGAAGATGCACAAACAAGACGATAAGTACTTCTAAACGAGATTTTCAATTAGTTTTTAAATATGTTGATACATTTGATTCATCCAAAAACTCATTAATAATACACATTCCAAGTTTTTGCTCCCGTGCTGCCACTCGGATTTATAGCCTCGCAGAAAACAGCAGCGGTGGAGCTTCATGACCTCAACTGATGCCTGAAGGTATGTGCGGCCATGATTAACGAAAGACAGGTAAAGCAATGCAGATTTGATCTTGTGGAGAGAGAAAAGGATGCCCATCACCTCCTCATTCCACGTGAAAAAAAAAAAAGCAACACATACTATCACTGATAGCTTATTATGCCCGTAGATTTATGGATCATTTTTAAAGCTAATAAGCTTATTGGTAATTCACTAAAGCATTTTATGAATTATTTGTGAATTCTTGAAGTATTACATTTGAAGTGTATTCATAGGTTTCTAATAGATAGCTTATTATTATGCAAGCTCTTGGTAGAAATTGTTATAAATTGAATGGGAAATACTCTTGCACTGACAATAATGCTGCATTAATTTGATAATGAAATCAGCATTATTCTTACTTTACTTATTATTATTACTCGTATTACTTAAACTTCACTTATTATTATTACTCGTATTACTCTATTACTTAAACACTCCTTCTTGCAAAAGTTTGTTTTTTATTTTCCGGTCCATCATACTGCATATTTCTACAAACTCATTATCATAATCATTATTATTGATTTTTCATTGGTTATAATTTTTCTCGTTCTGATTTCAAAATTTTTTAATTTAAGTATTCCTCGATTTGATTTTTTTTTTTTGTTTACTTTTTATTCATCTTTTCGTCTATTATAGTACCATTTTTGTTGATGAAAACCTCTGTTAATCATATTTTACTCAATTGTTCATCGGTTTTCTTTTTACATAATACAATCAATTCAACAAATTCAAAATTTTATTTTGTGAATTTTTTGCAACAACAAAAAAAAGGACTAAATTAATCATTATGATGAAAGATTCCAATGTATGACAACAATCCGTGATTCGCATTGTTAAATTTTTTTTGATGACAGGTTGCTTTTTTAATGATGACTAATTCCTAATAATGATTCTTACATTTCAAGCTATATTTATTTTTTAAGTCATTTCTATTACCTTGCTTTTTTTTAGATAAAATTTGGTGTGATACGAGAGGATGAAATCCGCTTTCACACTTATCACTGTTTACATTCAATAGGAATCTATTGGAATCAAATTTAATACGGTGATTCATTGTCCTCTATAGTCAACCCAAATGCAATCCGACATTTGGCATTATATATTTAAACATAATCACTAGGAATTTTAGTATGCAATGTCCATTTAATAAGTAATCTAATCTAAACAGTTCACTTTTTTTGATCTATAAACGCCTCGTATTTTGAACTAACTCAGAATTCACGAATAAATTTCTATTCAATTTATATTTATTTACCTTTTCATATATTAAATTCCTGTTAATATTTCATTAGAACTATTTAATTAACAAAACTTTTTTCGACTTGCAAAGTACGCTGTTCTCATAAACTTTGATATTTATGTCGTATTATGCTTAATCCAAAAATTACAACTGATGAAGGCTGTATTACAAGAAGCCAAGGATTAGAACAAAATTTTAGTCTGTAGCCACTTTTTTCTTGCTATCAGAGGAAATACTAATTTGTGCCTTATACTGTATTACTTGGATCAAATATCAATGTAACAAATTATATTACTCAATTTTATAACTCTTGATATACATTTTATTTTATATGTTTTATTATGGGATGCAAATTTTTTGAAATTAAACATTAACAATAGTGTTAATGGAAAAGTTTTGAAAATATGAAAAAGTGTTGAGAAATTCAACAAATAAATCTCATTAAAAATAATGTTAAGCATTATAAATGAAAGAAAGTCGTAATAAAGCATTTTTCCTTCTTTTTAAACTTTTATTCAGAATTCAAACAAATCTAGCAGAAAGTAAAGAATTCATCATCGGTAACACTTTTACCTTATCAAATAGTAAAATACGGCCAAACAATGATGAATACAGAAAGAAATGAAATCGTTGAAGTCCTTCTTATTATGTTTCTACCGGTAAGAATCTAAAAATTTCAATTAATACCAAAAAAAAAATTGGCAAAATTACCAAGGTAGAGCGCTACTGTCACAGTTCATAATCACTTAATATTTAAATTTTCAGCCGTTAGCAATATGGTATCATGCGCGCAAATGTACGTTCAGTGTTTGCCTGAATGTGCTTTTCATGCTATTTTTCGTTTTTCCGGCTATTATTCATGCCGTATGGTATTGCTTTATTCGTAACACACACTGATGCAATTTTTGCTTTTGCGTTATTATTCCACCAATAATCATTCCATTGTAAGTTTGAAGGTCGAAGGTTATCTCTACTGGATTGATAAGTAGAATGATATTTAATAACAAATGGAAATTACATGAAATTCCGTAGATAAGCAATAATCATCAATTGAAGAATCCTAATCCAAATTAACATTCTTTTTATCTGATCATTGGAATAATCATATCATTTTAATCCATTCTATAGAGAAATTACAATATGTGTCGAATTTTGGTAGCTTTATTTTATGCAAAATATTTGTATAATGGGGAAATAAAGAAAGCATTAAAGTTGATTTTTCAGATTTATCAATTCTACTCTAAACCAAATTGACTATTATAAGATTTATGGCAAATTATACCTTCGAAATTGTAAAGGTATCAAACATTTTATATAAATTATGACATAAATAATAAAATTTGTAAATTTTCTCCAAAATATTTATCTTTTTAAAATAGATATTTGTAAATTGTTGAAGAATGGATGTGTCATATGATCTTTAGAATTGTTACCATGTAATGCTTCGTTTTGTTGTAGCATAACTGTACTTATAAAGTATGATTAATACTTATAGAGAAGTATGACTAATTTTCTAATCATTTCGTTTGATCAGATCTAAACTTGCATTCAGTTGTTGTTAATTAAAGGATTGATCATCTTTGAAAGTTCAATCCGATCTTTTTCAAAATTTTGCAAGTTAAAGAATCCGAACAATTTGTGATATTGAAAATCAATAATTTTTCATAAGACTTTTTTTAAAAAAAAATGTTATTTTTAATTTATGCATATTTTAGTTTAGTCATTATCTTAATTAGAAATAATCGGTCAACGGAAAGCATTCAATCATGATATTGTAAAATCCAAAAGATTAAGTGTATTCAGGGAAGATTGACAATAAAATATTTAATGTAAGTGATTTTTGAAATATATTGAGAATAGTTAAAATGCGAGTGGTCTTGTTAAATGTTATTTGTTTGGTTGTTTAAACAAACCGCCAAAACAAAATAAAAAAGAAAATCTATAAGTTGTTCATTTTTAATAGGCATCGAAAGAATCCCACAAAAAAAATAAAAGCTCTAAAAACATTTGAATTTTCCAATGAGAAATTTGGGTTGATGGTTACCTGTGCTTTTTCTTTATCAATTTTATCCGTCTTCCTTCCATTCCCAATGATTGTAAAAAAGAAAAAAGCGAAATTTTTTAATTTTTGATTTACTCTTACTGTCAAATAATAATGTCAAGCCATTCATTTCATTATTAAACTGTTGAGTAAAATTATTTCAACAATATCTCAATTCGTTTCTGCCCCTATTAAGAAAATGAAACTATTCATTTCTATTTACCCATTTATTCATCAATCATTCCGATATGCTAAAATTCAATAATTGAGCTTGTATCGTTTAAGCTTCGTAAAAATACTGGTTTCTTTTTTTTTTTGGAAGGAAAAATTATGGTTGAGAAAAAAAACCAGTTTTATTTTTCCTTTGTTTTCTTTCGCCTCAGTAATTATTAATAGCAAAGTACAGAAGAGTTTAATTTAGTAATTCATCTGATCTACTAAATAATCATTTATTTAAGCAATTTGAAGAGAAAGAATTTACAAGTATGACTCGTAAATTTACTTACTTCTTATAAAGTTTGTTCTAACAATTCCATGCAAAATAAACTCTTAATATTTCATTTTATCAAAGATATAATTATGTTTAGATGATATGAAATAAATTAAAAATATAAAATATTTCAGAAAATTTCAGCTAAACTATGAAAATATTTTTAGCTGATCTTTGAATGCAAATAACCAAAGTACAGTAATAAATGAGGAGAAGTAATTCTGCTTATGCAATGGCATATCATTTTATATCTCAATAGGAAATTTCATTAAACGATTGAACTTTCAATAGGATAACTTTGTAGATATTTCAAAAAAAGAATTTGAAAATGGGAAAACCTCAAAAGTAAACAAATATTTCGTAAAATGAAATGATTCCCAGCTGTGACAATAATACATTTTGAGTTCATGAAAGAAAAATTCTAAATATTATTCTTAATGTTTGAACAAGAAATGATGCGACAGTAATGATAATGGTCGTTTTCGATGCGACACTGATGATCACCTTTTTTGACGCGACACTGATGATCACCTTTTTCGACGCGACACTGATGATCATCTTTTTCCTTGTTTTCGCCTTCACTTCTTTATGTTGTTTCTGTGCATCATACTGTTTGCTTGCTCATTGAAATTGCAATGCCCTTTCAGTAACCGAGTATTAGAATTTCAAATTTTTGGTCTAAATCATTTTTACTTTAAATGTTTGCAAAACTTATCAAAAAAAGAGAAAAAAAAAATTAAGAATGTTTTTTAAATTCTTCGTGAGAATTTTTGAACTTTTTTAAAAAATTACTAATGAACTTTTATTGTTAAATGATAAAGAAATACAAATACAAATAGTAATGAGAAGCATTAAATAATTCTGATAGTAGTATGAATTACAACATGATGAATGAATGAACAACACAGTCTGAAATGGGAAATATTTATTTTGAGAAGTGCAAAGTTTACCTTTTTTTTTTAAATTTCCATTTTATGACATTTCTTTTTTCTTTTGTTATCTTTTACGACAATAGGACATTAACGATCGGCAAAAATATAAGCTAAAATTAATAGTAATAAAATGCAAGCATAAAGTGTTTCATCCTTTTTATCTTCTTCCTCAAATTGAAAATTTTGAGAAAACCGTTGTTGGATGTTGTAAATGGAGTGATCGAATTTATAATACAAAATAATTTGCAATTAATAGTGATATCGCAGAATTTCAAATGGTAATGATGTCACAGACTAATAATGATGCATGATGATGTCACAGAATAATAATGATGTCGCAGAATTCCAAATGATCAGTATTATCAAGTAGGATTTTCTTGAATGATAAAATTCTAAAGATTAAATGTTAGCATTTTTTGTTATTATCATACAAATGAAGGCTTAATTATATTGTTTTGATATGCTTTTTACAGATATATTAAGAGAATTAACGAAAAAAAAATGATAATAATGGATAAATTTGATACTTTTGGAAGGAAATTAATTGGAATAGATCTAATGGACAGTCAATCACAATAAATAAGGATAATTTAAAACATTCTGTTCAATTATTTTTGTTGACAATATTTGGTGTGACAAGAAAAAATGCATACCCGTATCGGAAAATTTTTTTTTCAAAATTTATATTCCAAAAAATTTAAAACAAATATTATTAAACGTTTCTTTCATAAATCGTATTTTAACTGGTTTTCTTTTTTTTCATTTTTTTTCCATCCCATAATCAATAAATCTTATCAACATTATGTCCTATTTATGAAGTTGCAGCCAATACTACGGATATATGTGTGTGTATGTGTGTCTGTGTGTCATAGAAAATGATTGTGAGTTATTGGGACATGATATTTGCACATCTAAAATGTTTATAAATAGCTTAAAATTTGTAAATTTATTTGACATTCCAAAAATCCATAAACACCACCTTTCAAATTATTGAATACTAATTATTTTGTGACCTCACGTAAGATTGAATTTTATGTCGCATTAGAAAAATGAGGGAGAGAAAGGTAAGGAAATAACGATGCAAGAGAAGAACTCGTTCCAACAATTAAATTTTCCCAACAGGTTCACAATACTTATTAGTAAGATTTTTTAATTATTACAATTTTTCGTCTCACATAAGTGACAATGAATGAAAGCATAGATTTGTTTGACAAAATGAAAAAAAAGAAATTGAAATGAAAAGAAAGGAATTAAATTTTTTTATTTTTTCGAAGAGATTCAACTATTGAAATCTGTTTTAAAATGAAAAAAAAAAAATGGAGCAATTTATTTGCGCAGATGCTGAAAAAGAGAGAGAGCAAAAGGTAATCGTAATTATAAAAGGATAAAAAGTAATGAATTCAAATCAAATTCAAGTTCTTGATGATAAGGTATCTATTTTTTGAATTTCGTTATTTTTCATCTTATTAGTCATTTTATTTTAAGGTTACCATCATGAGTGAATTATTTGAAAGATTTTGAAAAAAGATCTTAAAGGTTAAGCAATAACGAAAGTGATAAGGACTTAATTACTATCATATAATTTATTATTCTTAAATGATATCATTTCCTACTACTTGTGTGAAATTAAAGTTATATTGAATTTCATTTGTAATTTACAGGAAGGGAAGAAATGTGAAGTGATATAAATGATAAAATATTTTTTTTTTGTTTTTGTTATTAAAAATTTTTTTTTTTGTTTTAAAATAAATTACCTGAACATTTCATATCAAAAATATATCCAAACAGGTAGAGTAGAGTTACAATTTTACTTATCATCTTATTATTTGAAGAATGCATTATTATCATATTTTTTCCAATCAGATTTACCTGTGAAAAATGTTTTATTCAAATTATTGACTTTATAGCTTTCTGTAAAATCAATTTTTTTTCTTTTTTTTGCTATTTCTCCTTTGGTGATAGTTTAAAATTCAAGTTTATTGGAGAAAAAAAGGTATCTGACTGGTTCGAAAATTAATTGAAATTGAGAGCTCTAACGTAAACATGCGCAAATAAATAATGAAAAATGTACTAGCTAATGCGTACATGCTATTTTATTCAATTTGAAATTTGTTAGCTGTAAATGGCAATTAAACAAGAATACGAAATAAACTCAAATTTGAAATATTTGAAAATGCAATCTTTAAATTTAATCTCTTGTAATAAAGATATATCGGATAGATTAATTTAATAAATTAGCAAGAGAAAATGAAATAACAAATTATATTTATAGATTTATTAGAAATGAAATTTAAAAAAATTTTAATAGATGAAAGAACGATGATGTAAATCATGAAATTACACTTGTAAATGTTAACCATCAACTCTCCATAACTTCTTCCTTGTTAGTGTTGTATAATTTTCGG